TTGTTTTAATCTCCAAAACTTTCTCCCTGACCTGTCTGTGCTCGTCTGAGGCCTTAACCAAACAGTTAGACTTAAAATTATGGGTTGTAGTTAAAATTGGTAAAATATATCAATACATCACTTTTTTTGTTAAGAAAAAGTGTTGCCATTTGACATAAATCTAAGTTGATCTGTCCTACCTCACCAAATCATAATAAATTACATCAAAGGTAAAAATCTTAAGGTGTAAAACTATTGCAAGACTCCCTAGATACTCCACACCATCCAACTTAAAACAAAGTAGAGGTAAAACGGAAGCTATAAAGCTAAGTGAAAAGCTTAGAATGTCAAACGCTCCCAGCTGTGGTGGTAACCCTTTAATGATAAGCAGCCTTTATTTCTTTTTTGTTGGCTTTAGGGACCGGACACATTTTAAGATTTGCACACATCCAGATTTTGTCTCCTCGATTGTGTAATCTCAGAAGCACCTGAACCAGCACACTGGAACCAGCTTGGGCCTTAAATTTCATAGCAATACATCCAACAGCTGTTCACACAAACCACTTAAGCCACACCTGATTCTGTAGAATCACTCGTTTTCACTACAGTTTTATTCATTAACTCTTAACCATATTTAAACATGACTAGTTCATCTCGTTATGGTAGCAGTTTGTATTCAGACTTGTTGATTGGTCTTAATCCTGTCCATGTTTTTTTTGTCTGTAACTGTTTGATTTGTGCGCACATGTTTTTTTTTTTTTTTTTTGTTCTTAACTCAACCCATCTGTGCTTGGGGTTAAAGAATACCTCAAATTATTTGCACATCTGTATGTGTGTTTATGTGTTTAAGTGTGAACATAAAAAGGCAAACAAAAGTCTCTCTGCTCTGGGCCCAAATGTCTGTTTTCTCAAACATAAGTTGAGTCTTCGCACACTTTCCTTAACTAGTTACAGACCAGGAGAAAGCTGAGGGAAACCAGAGCTAGTTTTCTTTGGAAACAGCTCTCTGAAGTCCCAGTAATATTTGTCTCATCTCTAGGGTGGCGGTATTTTGTTAATTTTAAGGTCACAAAAGTTAACATTTTTCTTCCCTTCTTGCCACAAGTTCAACAAGTTCAATCAATTAATATGATAAATTAGATAAGCAAACATGTAAATATTCAGCTTGGATAGGAAAAAAATAAAATGTATTTTGCTCAGAAGTATTGGATGTCCTTTCTAAAAATATTAAATTGCTATTTCCCTGTTACATCCCACAGGTAAATAAAATCAAGCACCTACAGCGTTCTACAAACATCTGCAATAAAATGGCTCCCTCTAATAAACTTGGTGGGTTCCAGTTCTTAACATGGATTAAATCAAAAATTCCCCCAAAAATCCGATGTCAATGCTGGTGGGATCATGATAAAGTAAATGCAAATGGGAAACAACAACATCTCATCCTCAAAGTGCTGGTTTATGTACAACCAGAGAGTTCATGTTGAAAAAAGTTTTCCAGCTGACTTCCAGACATGGTGAGACGTTTGATTAGCTCATAAATATTACATAGTGTATTCAGAGTGATGGGTTGCATCCAACTTACATTACCCATTAATTGTTGGATTAATTTGTTTAAAGCACGGCACTACTGGATAGAGGAATGGAGATGTGTTCTCCCTGCTGCCCTCTGGAAATAGGCTTTGCAGCATTCGCTGCAGGTCCAGCAGGTTCTGCAACATTTTTTTACTCATTGCTATCAGACTATTGAACTGTTAAACTCTAAACTGGACTCTGCATTACACTTGCAACATTATTTTGCACTACCAACGTAGCTGAAACTTTTACAATCCTTTTAAATAAGACAGAACTCAATTTTCTGCTGCAATTAGTTCCAGATTTATTTTGCACTGCACTGAACCTTTCCAAATATAATGTCCTTTGCAGCATTTATTTTTATGGTTTCTTTTTCTCTACGCTGTTTACATGCTGATGACTGCTGCAGTTTATAACGGTAATTCACTGCTTTTAGTTCACTGTTGTAAGCTGTAAGCAATGTAATTTTGCTTTGTATGCACAAAATGACAATAAAGTTTCTCTAAATGTTACTTAGAATGACAAATCATCCTATTCTGTCTAAATGTTTGATTCCTGATTTGGCACTTTTCAGGACAACGTTACTTCCTGAAGATTTCTGCTAAGTGTAAAGCCTTTTGAGGGCACTCTCATGATGTGGGGGGGAATCTTTCCTGTAAATATGCTTTTCCACTAACCATATAGAGTAGCTTAACTTAATTTACCACTCTTGTGCAGATTAACTCTCTAAATTGTGCCTTGAGGGTGCTATATTTATTTTATTTTGCAAACTTGGGTAATTTTTGGTGAACTTATTTAATTCTGCAACTTTTTGTCTAATAATGTCTTACTCTGCTCCGCCTGGGTTGGATGGTAAACATTGCATTTTAATTCAGAAAGACCGGCTTTGTCCAACATATGTGTTTGACCACACAAGTACATCTTGTCCATTAAATCGTTTCCTACCTTTTATTTAACTTACAGGAATCTGACTGAAATTAGAAATCTGTTTTGCAAAAAGTTCCTGCGAATGACGACAGCACAGAATTTGCTTGAGACACAATTTCAAACATATATGTAACTATAATATATGTAAGTACACATTTTTGAAAACGTCTTCAAAGAGACATACTTATTTCATAGTCCTTAAAAAACTTTTTAACTGCATTTGGAGAATCAAGCTCCTGGAGACTTAAGACATTTTCCATCTGATTCCCTGCAATTGAAGCTGCATATTAATAAAGCCACTTCAAATGTTCAGTCCAGACTCTAAGGACTAAAGAAGTGAAGGTTATGCAAGGAATGACTCTAACATCCCTCAATCTTTTTGATTTACAGCTTTCAGAAAAGTAATGAAGTTTATGTAGCTTCAAATTGCTCAGCAAACTCATTTAAAAACCCTATACAGTAAAAATAGTCTTTAATTATAAACGTTTCTTTAAAGTTAAACAAGTCAGCAATAGCAGGGCAAACAAATCTAAAATACAAGGAGAGAAATCAAAACTAATACAGGCTTAAATATTTCTCTGATATAATGCATTTAATTTAACCTTTTCTTATAATAAAACCACCAATAATAACTGTTCAGTTAAAGAAACACAAAACAAAGCAAATACACTGTGCACATTTTCCTTTGCGTGCAGAAAAGATGTAATTTGATCATAATTGCAAATTGTTTCATATTGATAAGTTTTAGAGTCATTGACCATACGGTTAATCCTCCTTTGGCCTCACACTAAGAAACATGCAATAACATTTTTCCTGTGCTGCCATCTAAAGGAAACACATTGCTATAGATGCTGGAATCCTGCAGATGCTTAAAAAAAAGTGAGACAGAAGAAGACCGTTTTAGACTGGAACCATTTCTTAGGCAGGTCCCATCACCTTCCATCACAGGAAGAACAAAATTAGCCATTAGCACATTAACAATTAGCAAAAAAACTTTATTTAGAGAAATGTTTACAGGTACATAACATTGTTCACCGTTTAGCACTGGATTGCTGATGTGCCAAAAAAAACTGAAGTCAGCTGCCACCATCTTGGTACTCCCCATTTTCAGGAAGTGGCACCATAAAAATGCCTGTCATGTAATGTAAAAAAAAAACATGTATATCTCATGTATATCATTACTTTAGCACATTTGGCACATCATCAGATAGTGTTTGTTTGTGTGTGTGTGGGTGTGTGTTTGTGGATGTGTAATATTCTTAATATCTGACCAGTATTATTATGCTCCATTAACCTACTAATTTTGTGATGGATTTGTATAATATTTTATATTACATGATTCATAGACTTTATGGTATTAATACTGAATATGCAATGTGATGCGCATGTTTATCATAAATTACAGGAATCTACTGATGCTATGAAACAGCAAGTGTGTGTCAGAGTGATAACTTTATCTTTATTTTAAAAAGAAAAAAAATTGAAAAAGAGGACATTATCGTTGTTCGCTGCTGTTGCGCACGTATTGTTTACATTCTGATCTGTCTAACTAGGGAGTACCAATGTGGCGTCTGGTGACTTCACAGCACTGTGTACTACCAACAGCCTATCAGCAATCTAGTGAATAAATAAAGATCGGTGGGACATAACAGCAAATTAAATATGACTGAAACTTAACTTAGCTCGAGAGTTGTAGAGAGTTTAAGATTAGAAGCAGTAAATATCCTTTGTGATGTAGATAGCTCTTTTTCTCTTAACTTATGAAAAACTCAGATTAGTTTATCTCAGGCAATAAGTTTAACAGGGGCCAAAATCAAAATAAAACATTTTAAAAACAACCACAATTTCAAAAATATTGAGTAAATTATTATTATTTGTAAACTTTTAAATTATGGTCACTTTTTCCATGGGAAGTTACTTACAACAAAAACTTCCACAGGTTGTAAGCGTAGGAGACTGCGTGTCACAAAATAATGTTTTCCTGTGTGGAATGTACTAGAGCTTTTAAAGCTTTTCCAGTTGGGGGGAAAATAAAAAATATGTCAAAAGCTGGTGTAAAATATCAATAAACCACCATTTATGTGCACCTCTGTGATCTTTTTACATGTGGGTGGAACAGGTAATGTCTTTTGAGCCAGAGAGCTGTCATACATGAAAATGATGTAAAAAGATCACAGCGGTGCGCATAAACGTTGGTGTAACATATCAATAAACCACCGTTTATGTGCACCGCTGTGATCTTTTTACATCACTTTCACGTATGACAGCTCTCTGAGTCAAAAGACATTACATGTTCCACCCACATGTTTCACAAAGGAAGAAGACTGATGTTGTACTGCCCTAAACATATATTCTCTTTTGAAATAATCATACATTTCTTTCAAGTTAATGTTTGCATACGGCAAACAAAATGATGCTGAACGGGTTCATTAAATAGCATTTAACCAAAACCCTAATATGACGGAAGAGGCTTTAGAGAATAAGCATGCATTTGGTCTGACCCCTTTAGCCCCTTTAACTATTCTGCTTTATTCTACTTTTATAACCTCCATAAAACATTTCTAATAAACTGTAACTTCATAAGTCCTGAACAGATACTCCCCCCTCAGATATGAGCTCGCATTTAGCTTCATCCATGGAGGAGTTGATGATTGTTTCAGCCAGTTGATGGGCCAGCATGTGAAGATCTCTCTCATCTGATACCTGCTTCTTGTTTTTCATACTCAACACCCAGCTTAATATGTCACATGATAGAACCTCTGCAAAAGCATCCACAGTGGTCCCATGGGCTTCCACACTGTCTCCTGATGGGTCATTTGTAGACAAAGAATGCATCAAATGCTCCATCAGCTCCACTTGAGTGTCACTGATTTCTGAGTTGTCCTCCTTGTCTTTTGGAGTTGGTGGAGGAGGTGAGGGCAAGAAGACCTTTGCTAGTCCGCCTTTGAGCTTACGGGCGAAACTGCTCCTGCTCCTCTCAAGCTCAGGGAGGAGAGGGGTTGTCGGAGGGGCATCTGGGTAGTCGAGGGAGCCTACAGCAGGAAGACCTGACTGGTAGAGAGGTGGATGGCTGGACTCTGGGTTTTTAGGGGTCTGTAATTCCCTGACTGAGACCATCTCTTGCTCCAACAGGTCCTCTTCTTCCCCTGATGCATTTACATTCTCTTGTCGGCTTGATATAAGACCATCGGTATATTGAGGTATGCAAACTTCTTTAAGAGCAATTTCAATTATTGCTGATACCAACTCCTCAGCTAACACCTCTGGCGTTTGATTGGGTTGTGGTACCTCGGGTTCCGACTTTTCCATTTGCTTAAGAGATGACTGGATTATGATCGCTGCCAGATCTTGGGCAAACTCTTCCAGAGTGTTGGCATTTATGGAGCTTCCTTGGCCGATGTTTTCAGGCCGTGGACACTTTGAGTCTGAGCTTAGAGTCGGCATTGAATCCTGCAAAGATAAAAGACAATAAGCTACAGGTTATGGATTAACATGTTAATGTTCTTTCTTTTTTGAGAAGGTAAAAGGGCATTTTACAAAAAGCCTTTGGAGTGTTTTCCAACTCTTTTTTTTCCCCCTGTGTCCTGTCTGGCAAAGTGGCAATAGGAATTGTTGTCTGCCAGAAAGAGCCCAACAGATTTTACTGTAAGTGGAGCATTATCACTTTTTATTATGGTTTATGTTGGGAATAATTCATGTTATGTGCACATAAAAAAGGGAGAAAAGGTCAAAGACAGAGAAGATAAAAGAGAGATATTGACAAAACTTAATCAGCCGACTTCATCACCTGCAAAGACAAATGCAAAAAGAAGAGCACAACCATCTGGTATAAAACTACTGATACAATACAGCAACATACAGTATTAAACAATACAGGATGCATAAAGTGGTAGCTGAAGATAAAAATTGGCGAGTATGTAAGTATTGTTAATGTTCTTCTTTAAAAAAAAAAAAAATCAAATTGCATCTACAGAGTTTAGTGTGGACAGCTGGAGATAGGCACCAGCACCCCTCCCGACCCCAGCAGGGATAAGCATGATGGAAAATGGATGAATGGATGGAGTTCAGTGTGAACTATTGAGATTGTATGTGAACAGCGCACAAAAAAAAAAAAAAGAAAATGCAAAAAGGAAAAAATATTTACAGGATCACCCTTTTGCTTTAGTAACAGCCTTTTGGGCTTGTGTCTAGCATTTATTTTCTTACTTTAAATACTTCCTTTTTTATGTATTCCTTATGAAATATAACTCAAGATGAATATGATTGAACAGAGATCCTCTCTGACCAACCGTTATAAAATTTGCCCAAAGTTCTGTGTGATGTAGGTCTAAACCTTGACTGGGCCATTATAATATATGAATATGCTTTGAATCTCTGAAATATTCAATTTAATATCTGGACATATTTTTAACTTGATGGAAGGAAAACCTCTGTTCCAGTCTGAAAGAATGATGCTTTTAAGGTGATTTGCTTTGTTACCAGTTCCCCTCATAAGATGATTATGGCTTCCCCTAAAAGCCAGGTTTGTTCAGCAGAAAAGTGATATTCCTTTGGTGCCAATTCGGCCTGATTTTTAAACTATATGCAGGTGGAATAATCAGTCCTCTGAATTTAATTTGTTGGCATAATATTAGTTTGATTAAAGGGGGCTAAATACAGTTGCAAAACTTTTCAGATGTTATATTTGTAAGCAATAAAAAACTCCTTTTTTGCAGGTCTATCAGCTAGAACCCCTATAAATGGCATGGCAAGTTCCTAAAATGTAAAAACAAACAAAAAAAAAGTTAGACTTTTGCATAGCACTAGATGAGTTAAAAATGAGCAGGAAAAATCCTGAAGTATATTTGTGCAAAAAGGATAAATCAAAGCAAAGGGAAAAAACTATTTGAATGATTTGGCTAAAATATTTCAGATGAAAATAGCTTCTGTAAGAAGCATGGCAGAACACCAATGCTGCCCATAAATGGTCCCGCAACTCTCTTCACCCTCTGTTTTATAAATATTTCTGCATTCTTTATCTGCTTCAGGCTCAAGAAGAAAAAACTGATGAGCTACGAATAAAAAAAAAGCTTCCAGTAGTTTCAGAAAAGAAAATAAAGTCAGATATGTTGCAAAGCGATAGAATGAATAGACAAACAGAGAAAAAAGGAAATCCCCCTCAGATGGAAAGTAAAATAACCTCAACCACAGCCTGTCACCATATGAGTTGTCATCTAGTCCGGATGTTACAGGCAGGAAGCTCAGATCAGAACGGCATCAGCTCAAATTGCTACTCTGGCGTTGATGACAGCAGCAGCTCAAAACTTTAGGTAATAACACTGACAATGTGGAAAACAAAAAAAGAAAGATTTTACATGAAATCTTCATGGCATTAATAAACAAATGTTGTTTTTTTTATACCAACTCGAGTGTTTGACAGATATCAATAGTCTGCTTTTATGTTCTTTGTAATTTTTGCCAAGTTGATGGTTAGTGCAATTATTCTTCAGGCAAATACAGCAATCCCGAACTGCCAATTTTACGTCTTCTTCTTTTTCAAAAACGTGTCAAAAACGAAGGACATTCTGTAATTTTAATGGAAGGTTGTGTTCTGCTGTCTGAGCAGAAAAAACGGATTCTCTCATCTTAATCCTGAGTGCTGGCAAACACAACAAATGCATGTTTTCTTGAACGGAGAGACAGGCTTGCTGATTTTTTTTTCACTTACTGATTAGAAAAGTACATCCACTGCAATTTTGGCCCCTAAAAGTATAGAAAGGCACAATAGATTTACAAAAACCGGCTAAATTAAGAAACTAGATTGAACTAATGATATAAGGTACTTGCTGAAGTATATTGCCCACCATTCAGTTCTAAATCCTGGAGGACAACAGATCGTTGAGAAAACAGTGCTATAGAAACAGCATTACAAAGGTTTATTACTGACACAACATTAGTTTTCTGAGCTGTTAAACTGTGGCAACCAGTGGCAACTAGGATATTTTAAACATTTTTTGGTACCAATCACAAATCAGGAGGAGTATACGGATGATTTTTCAAGAAGCAGAGATATTATTGTGTTAGAAGACCATAATACTGTCATATTTTCAGAAAGTTTCTTTTATTTTTTTGGACATCAGCAGGCCATTGCTTTGGCTAAAACTATTTCAAGGCCAACTGATAATAAGTTATTTTTATAAAGATGAACAAGGTTATAATTTTTGAGAACATTGTCTTAGAAAGTGAACATAGATTGCCAAACAATCTATAAATTAGCTGATGTGTATTTTATTGTTTATATCTGGATTGGTGGTAAGTAAATTAAAAAAAAGTCTGTTGCTAGTAGCAACGGTTAGTCCTCTACTGTATACAAAAAACTGGGTGGTTCACTGATAAATATAAGTCTTTTTCCATATTGATCTAAAAACTATTTTTTAGCTTAAGCCCCTGTCACTCTATGACGTATTAACCAGCGTCCCAGAATCTTCTAAAATGCTGGCATACTCTGAACTTTCTATGTATTTTATCAATTTTGAGCATATACTTAGAGTATTCATAACGAGTACAGTGACAGTCTAACATATGCGTAAGGTACGGCAGCGTAATGTTCATGAAATGTCACAAACCAATGTCCTGAAGGGGGCAGCAATGCAGCCAGAGGAGCCCAGCCTGCATAAAAAGATGTTTTTTATTGAGGTAATAACCAAGCTGCTGTTCACTGCCGGCCCAAAAAATAAATAAATAAATAAATAAAAAGAAAAAGAAAGAAAAAGGTTTGCAGTCGCAGCAGATTTAGCGTCATGTCTGCTAGGAGGTTTGTTGGCGGTGGGCGTGAACGCAGGGAGGATCCATCACCTTCTCGCTCACCCTGTGATGGGGATGAAGTCTGGAGGAGAACTGTTGATTTCCTCCCGTGAACCCCCTTTATACAAAAACATTGCCAATGCGCCATTAAACAGTAGCTGGAAGTTAGAAACACGTTCAACGCTCGTCTGGAACACGTCAGATACGTTAATATACATTGGAGAGAAGTTCTTGATAGATTAAGCATAAGTTAAGCACAAGTTACTCATAGGTTTAGGATAAGCTGACTTATGAGTAACTTACTCTTAATGTATGTCAACGATAACTTACCTGTAACTTATGCCCCACGTATGAGCATACACTGGCGTATGTCGGGAAATTTTGAGCATTATGTCAAGAAATTTCGGCATGCTCAAAAATTTCTTGCGTGCTCATAACTGATAAAAAACGGACCCAATGTATGCCACCATTTTTCCAGATTTTTCATACGTCAGGCATACGCTGGCCTAATTTGTCATGTTGCACCAGGGGCTTTAGCTCTCTGATTCTATTTTATTTTTGTTATCACGTATAAGTTTATATCTGCTTTTTTTATTAAGCTTCCAGTAATATTCTTGTCTATGTAACCATTGTTTGTCCTTGTACTTACAACAGGTACCTGCTGAGTTCATGTAATTCTATTGCTTTGTCAAGTTAGTAAAACAGACTAAATTGACCAACTGATCTACAGTAATGCTATTATTTTATTTTGAAACAACAAGAAGTCTCAGATCTTATGAAAAAGTTGTTAAATGATGGAAATGAGTTCATTCTTAAGAAGTGAAATTATGCTAATGATATAACGGAAGTCAAATTAGCATAAAATGAATAAACTGAAACTAAAAGTTCCTTTTTGTGTTTGTCAATAGTAATTTCTTAAAGTTAAACTTTATGTTTTATCAGAAACCCTTAAAAGAAACAGTGGGAAAATGGGTTAACTTTTAAGAACCTTTTTTATTCTAATGATAGAACTTTGTTCAGCACAACAAACTGTAAATTAACTGAAATTGGTTATCAAAGACAATGAAACAATGGCACAAAAATAAACTCTGGTAAAGGTTTGAAGCTAGCAAAGTAGATTTTAGATATATAATAAAGATTCTGCAAAGTTATTAATTCCTTTTTAGATGGTCATTTTATAGGTTAAATCAAGTTTCAGAAACTCTGAGCATCTAAATCTAGCAAATATTTTCTCTCTTTTCTTAATAAGTCTATTGTTTTATATGCTTTTTTTGTCACTTATCTTAAGCTGAACTTAACTACTAATGCTCTACTGCTGCAACAATCTACATACAGTGGCCGAACCAGGCTGTTAATGTTAACAACAGGCTTTAAGAGCAATGAAATCTCCATGCATTTTAAGCCAGTTTAGTTATATTATCATCACATTTTGAGTGATTAATTAAAAAAAATCTGTTAAAACCAGTTAGGGAAAGATGTTTCTGACGTTTTTAGGAAGAGCTAATATCTCGTTGCATGATTTGTCTCACAACGGAGAGACCACAGAAAGGGTAAGATTCAGAGTAAAGCGCAAATATGGAACAAATTATAGCAAGAAGAGTTGTTTTTTTTAATGGCAACGTGAATTGGAGTTTCTGATGAGGCAGAGGAGCGTCTTTCTTCTTGGGAGTCCTCCTCATTATCGTCTACAACTCCAAACATAAGGTGTCGATACTGAGTACCACTACATGCCTAGGTTAACGTTTTCACAACCACACAAATAGACTATTAGTGTAGTAAAGGCACTTCTGATGATGGTATGTTAGTGTTTCTTTTTTCTACTTGACCTTTTAAGAAGGGCTTCTCTCTTCTTCCTTCTTTCTCAGTGGTTCACATCGTTAAAAAAAAACTTGTGCTAAAAGCTATTTTAGGTTTGTGTGAACATCTAAAGCCACCCTCAAGAATAAACTCGGACAGAACAAAACTGTAAAAATGTCCGAAAATAAAAAGGAAGTACATATATACTGTATATGAACTCAGAAGAGGTACAGTAGGTCGCGTTGCTGTGAACAAACTATATAGGATGTTAGATAAAAAGGACAAGTAACAATACAGATTACAGAGAGAATAAACAACTTTAGAGAAGTTATAGAAATGTTGCATAAAAAAGAAAAAGCAAACACTCAATTGAACTACCAGCTTGAACAAGGTGCATTTAGACAAACTTACCACATTGAAGCTTGTTGCACAGTGCCTTCAGTGTAAATGGGTTGCATGGGAAACAGTTCACAAGTTTTGCTCACTTCCTGTATGTTTCTATAAGTGTATTTGTGCGTGGGAGGGGTGTGTTTGAGAAAATTACAGCACCAAAAAAAAAAAAAAAAATAGGAAGTAAGAGAGGATTGTTTTGTAATGTTGACATTAGTTTATTGAAGTTCAAAGAGCTTATATTCTATTAGGACTTTTTTGGGTCTAGGCTTGTATATTTATTCTCCTTTCTATGTCAAATGTTTTGAAATATGTAGAAACGTTTAATTCAAACCATGCAGGCAGCCAAAGTTGCCAAAAATGATGTGATTAATTAAACTACAGATGCATATCATAACAACGACCGAATAAGAAGGTAAATGTAACATATTATGCAGCTTGAAAGGTAAAATTATCTGTTTAGTCAGGTGGAGAACGTAAAACAAGGGTCTAAAAATTATATATTGGGATTTTATTTTTTGCTTTTGTCTTATTTTCCTTTTCTGCAAAGTAAACAGTGTAGAAAACCATCACTGTCCTCCAAGAGGCTTTAGTAAAAACAGTATACAGTATCTGTGAGGGAAACATGGTGCTTAGCTGAACTGAAAGTAGTAAAAGGGAATGAATGTATTTCCCCATTAAGGGTGGTTCACCTAGATAGACAAAAGGAGCTATGTTAAACCTTTGTACAGCCTTAGTTTGCATGTTCTCTCTGTGCATGTGTGGGTTCTCTCAAGGTACTCCTGCTTCCTCCCACAGTCTGAAAACATGACTGTTAGGTTAATTGGCTTCTCTAATTCTCCTTAGGTGTGAGTGTGTGCATGAATGGTTGTTTGTCCAGTTTGTCTCTGTGTTGCCTTGCAATAGACTGGCGACCTGTCCAGGGTGACCCCGCCTCTCGCCCATTGATAGTTGGAGATAGGCACCAGCACCCCTCACAACCCCAGAAGGGATAAGCGTGACAGAAAATGGATGGATATAAGTGAACACTTCAAGTTAATGTTGCATGTATGGTGACAAATATTCACATAAAATCTGTCAATTGTGTGGCTGAGACGTGGAGAACAATATTGTTACTGCAGCAAGTAATTACTGTGATTAAACATGCAGAAGAAACATCTAAATATGGATAGTCTGGTTGGGATTTTGACATTTTCAAAACAGTCAGTGACTGTATGAAGAGTTAGGTAATTCTGCTCAATCATCACTGCAGGAAGTAACAGGTTGTTGTTTAAGCCCACTAGGTTAGAATTTCACAAGCACAAATTTTACTGATTTCTTTGTTGGAGGAGGGCAAGGGATTACCGTATTGCATAGTTTTGCATTCCTATAGTCCCATAGGAAATGGATTTAAGAATTGGTAAATATATGTATAGTACATTTGAGGTTATATGCAAAAAAACAAAAACATAATGATTTAAACAATATTTCCTTTTTTGGCTGAAGTCAAGACAAACCAGCATAAAAAGCTGAAACCCTCAGCAATGATTTGTGGATCTTTGGTTTGTACATTCCACATCTGGCGATTGATCCAGTTCTACATCTCGAATGCATTTCACGAGCCTTACGTGAATTGTTGCCACCATAACCCTGAACTCCATGTCCAAACTCACCCTTTGATTTTCAAACACTCTAAGGAAGAAGAAACTATTCAAATCTGTCAGGAGTGCACTGTGAACAGCAAAATATTCACCTAAACTATTCTAATTGTGAAGCTGGGCTTGCTTCTAGTACATGAAATGATGTATGCTGATGGTTCACTCAGGGAATGACATAACTCTTTCTCACAGGTCAAAGGAAAATGGCCTTTGAACAGAAATAGATTTATTTCTATTCAGTTATTAAGACACAGAGAGAATTTATGGACTCATCTCTTGATATTCTGACAAGAATCCAAACTGCTGGCAGTGGGATGGATATATTCTGCCAGTTTCCTCTTCTTTCCACCTTCACCTACCCTCTGAGTTTACACACATGGCATCCACAGTTCTATATCCATCTATGATGTAAATTATCGATGAAGCTTCTCTTTGCTGTAAGACTCAGTTGATCTTTTTTTATTCCCAAGCTCTGGAAACACTTAAGGCATCCTCTACTCAAGGGTAAGATGTGTAAAAAACTCAAATATGTCAATAAAGAAGCATAATGTAAATGTGTACCACAGATTTTTTTTTTTATTTCTTTCAAGTATTGTTAGATAAGCTTTGTCTGAAATTTATAATCAAATAAATGAAATCAAAATGTAGTCAAAAAATGTGATTGTTTTTCGACCTTTCTTTTAAGTATTATTAAAGAAATAAGTTGTTTTCTCTTAAAAGATCTTAAAACTAGAAAAAGAGAAGCTATACTGATCTTACAATGACCCTAGCTGGAAGAAGATGTTGTCAGTAAAATAACGTTTTGTCCCCATTTATCACATTCATGAGTGATTTTTTTAATTTTTTTTATTTTATTTCAGTGTTGAAAACAGGTACAGACCTAGAACTTTTTTTTTTATGTTTTTTATTTTGTGCACAAATCCCTCATTTTTTAAAGAGCACACATTTAAGTCAGGCAGATGTGTGGAGATCTTCATGTGTCACAAAAAAAGACTCTTAAAAAAAAAAATGCTCACTTGAACTTGGCAGTTCTATCTGTCATATATTACTGTAGAAATAGTGAGGAATTGCCGTAGAGTCAACAACAAAAGATTTTAACCAATCTGGTTGTATGATCTAATTTAAATGTCTCTGTAAAGTGCCTTTAGATGGTGTGCTGTAATTTGGTGCTATATAAACTGCACTGAATTTAAACTAATTTACCAATATTTAAAATTGAAGCTGTAAAAGATAAGTTTTGTTCCTATAACGATCACCATGGTGTAGAAAGTCAACTCTGTCTAAAGGCAACTTCAGGTCAGGTCACCAAGTTTCCTTAAAAAAAAAAAAAGATGAAAGCTACATGTTTGTTCAGGAAAATGTCTTTCCTTCCCTGCTATCATTGTTTTTCAAAAATGGGGATAAACTTTTTCACTGAAACGCCCACATTGATGCTAATTTGGTACAAAATGTCCTAGGTTGACGCAATCAAATGTCTATAACTCTTCATCGCCTTGGTTAAGCACAGTAAAGGATCTGTGATGCTGTGGGTCTGCTTCTTTTCAATTGGTGCTGGGAAACCATTTAGAATGAATTGCACTATGAACTTTTTTATTAATAAGAAAATGGTAGGATACTGATCGGCTACATATATGGATACTTAATGAACCTTTAATGGCCTCTGAATTCCCCAGACCTAAATCCCAAAAAAAGGCCTTACATATTTATTATGTTTATTGATGTCAGAGAAGAGTTAATGTCCCATTCACAAAAAAAATGGATGTTAACATCAGAAATAGAACAACTATTTTATGTGCCTCTACACAAATCAATTAAAAGTGTTTAATTTATTATGATCAATACATTTATAACAATAGCAGCAATTTGCAAGGCAAATAAAAAGAAAATCTGAATCTAGAACATAGTTAAATATGTCCTTTGAAAATTTCCAAGTATATTTATGTATTTCAATAGTTTACACTGTGGATAAACGATAACAGATGGGCTGAGAGGAAACACATGCATGTCTGTCCTGTGACTATTTAAACCTCGCTGCTGCCTCAACTTCTAGAAAAAACAGCAACAAATCCCTTAGCGCTTGAATTTCTGTTGGTCCTATGATGTTTGAAAACCTTCACAGCTCCGCCCTCTATTTCTAGGGTGTGTTGGGTTATTCGTCAAACAGACGGTTTCTCCGTCACTTTAAAAGTATATTAACAATATTCATATAAAATAGTTGCGATGTTTTAAAATATTAAAGTAAGTCAATTTATACTGTTTTTTGTTGCTTTTGATAATATTTCCTTAAAGAAAAAAAAACTAAATTAAAAGTTCTTTAAAAAGAACCGGGAGAAGCTGGTGTATGTAACTAGCGCTCCTTATCAACTGCATTCTCTTTAGCTTCCTGATTGGTTGGTTTGGCTCAAATTCTAGCCAATGAGAGCGAGGCGCAGGAGATTTAGATCCTCAGCTGAAATACTTTTGTTTGCGCTCTGGGCTACAGCAACTCCGCCGAACTGGGATATATTTAACTAAAAAAACACTTTTTATAGTGTCTAAACTGGACTTGACAGAGCAAGGTTTAATAAGGTAAGGTAACATTTCAAACTGCGGGGTATTTAAATGCTCAGTCGCTACGAGAAAAAAACCCACCCGTAAAGTTTACCGCGGGGAATCCTTGCTTTGAACGACCGAGTAACTAATATGTAAAAAGTTTATTTATTTTTTGGTTAAAGTGTTTCATTTTCGGTTTTTTTTTTTCTTCTGGTGTGCAAACCAAACAGCAGCGACTGGACGGTGTTTTTTGGGGTGAGCTAGGAAGCGAAGCTGCCTGCCATGCCTTTCACTAGAGCCAAATCTACGGCGAGCAAGACGTCCAAACTGAGCGCTGCAGCCACAGAGAACCAGGTTAGAACAGGACACAAAGTCTGGCTAAAGAAAACATCCTAAAGCAACTGTGTTTCATGCATATCAACATTTTTTAATGAATCATATGTGCTGTTTGTGTTTCAGGAAGAGGCCTCACATGTAAAGAGGTCCTCCTCCCCTCCTCATGGAGCTCCAAAGAAAAGAACTGCTTTTATCGACATCACCAATGTGAGTTCTGCATGTTGCTTTGCTAATAAGCTTGAAAACTCTAAGTAGTAAATATTCATTAGATGAAAAAATGTCCTCCTAAAGAGAAACAATAAACCAGCTGTTTGTATGCATGAGGAGGTCTGCATTGAGTGGGTGGCAAGTTCTGCTCTTTAGATCTTTTAATGGAAACTACAGACATATTGTGCAAAAATAAAACAATAGTATTGTGGTATATAGTGCTTTTTGTTTACAACCTTCCATTGTCTTTAGTGTACAGTAACCACAGTTTTTATCTAAGCTGTTTTAATGCTCCCAGAATTGCATTTTAAAAGGATGTATGCCCTTTGCATGTTATAACCTTTTATCTGTTTATTGCGTTTTCTTTTTTTTAAGGTAATAGATCCAATGTGGCAGCATCATGCATTCAGGATAGCTTTTCTGATAGGCTACGTTCACACTGCAGCCTGAAGTGACCCAAATCCCATTTTTTGGCCCATATGCGACCTGGATCTGATCTTTTCATGGCAGTCTGAACAACACTGATCCGATTTTTTTCCAATGCTACCCAGGCCTCTTGGCTATGTGGTCCTGAACCCGATACGAATCTGATATTTTCAAATGTGACCTGTGTGTGAACGGCCAGGTCACATTCATCCGACCTGAACGTCATTAATACCCGACAAAGGTCACTGTTCTGCGTCTTTCTATGCAGATGCGGCAAGAAAAACAACAACCATGGCAGATGATGATGCAGAGAGTAGTATTTATGTTTAAACATATTGAAAAGATTGTGTTCTTGCGTTGTATGACTGCAGTTCACACAGGAGATCACATACAAGTCGCATATATTAAGAAATATGAACGGCAACGCAAAAAAAATAAAAAAAATCTGAATTGAGCATCAAG